GCTTTTTAGTTAGGTTGAAATTATTATTTTTTTGGTTGAAAATATTATTTTTTGATAGAATTTATTTTTTGTTTGGTTGAAAAAAATATTTTTGATTGAAATTATTTTTTTTGATTGAAGATGCTTTTTGTTTGATTGAATAATAAAAACACAAATTTACCTCCATACACTACCACAACATATTTTAGCTCCATATCTGTAAAAATCAAAGTAACAGAGATGTTGTGTTAGCTAATGTCAATCAGTTGTGGCGGTCATTTTGAATTAGTTGCAAATGTAGATATACAGCTAATGGTTATTTTGAGTTTCACTTAGATCCATCCAGTGGTTTATAAGGTATTTTGCTAACATACATGAACACATATATTTGAATTATATTTAAATAATCCTGTAAGGTTAAACTTGAGGCTGTATAAAAGTTTTATAAAATAATATTCACAGAAATCTCTGAAAATTACCAGTTTTTCCCCTAAAGTTTTGTGTGTCTGCTTCTGTTCACTGAAGGAAAGAGTCAAACTTTAAACTTTTTTTTATTGTCAGAGGTTGTTGCCTTATTGAAATGGTTCTTTGTTTCTGTATGTTGTGAAACGTTGAGTCTGTCTTGTATTTTATGGGACAGAGTCAGAGCTAAACAAATTATTGGACTTTGGTTAGATGTTAAAACATTGTCCCAATCTAAACTGGTTCAGGTGAGTATCTTTATCATTTTATTGGAGGTTAAACTTACAGTTTTCTACTAAACCCCTGAATGCCTCGCAGGTTACTCTAGTTCTGCACATGTGTGTGTTGTTAGACATGCCTCTGCCTCAGAGGAGCCTGTATGTAACCACATCATGTCTGTTCACTGCTCAGACCACGGCAGCTTCACTCCTGAGCTCAGTTACGTTACCTAGGAGCATCTCTAACTCCCATTCCTCTTTTTACCACATGTAGACACCACTTTACTTGTTCAGAGGACATATGTAAACATTAACTGTGGGCGTGTCCAGGGGAGGAGTCTAAAGGGTGCTCAGTTCCACACTGAAGTAGAGCTGGATTCATGCTTCTGAAGTGAGGACCAAGGTTGTAAAGTTTTGGATTTTTCATTATAATTTAGTTTTATTTCGTTGTGACTTTTTTCTTTAAATTCACTTAGTTTTAATTAGTGTTTACAGCTAGTTTTATTAGTTATTATTGCATTTTTAATGCTTAGTTTTAGTTTAGTTTTTATTAGCTCTAGTATTAGTTTTTTTATGGTTTGAATAAACATATTTGTCGATGCGTCCTCCAGCTTGTGATATTCCTCTGAGTTCACTAACCAGCAGATATTTGGTCACTAGTTAAAGCAGTCCATTATAGTGACATCTTACTAAAATAATTGCGTAATTCAATTTTGCCAACTAAGGACTTGGTTGATTACTTTAGGACGATGATAATAGTCGTCTCCAACCTGCTGCTACCTGCTGATTGTTTTTCATGGGAGCTACTGAGAGATGCTAGTGTGTCAAGATAGTCATAGTTAGCCATGTTGTGTGAGCTTAATTCATGTAGTTTTTCCCTTGAGAAGCACTCCACCTATTTTATCACCTGTTTCCACTACAAGACACTTGTTTTGATTTTTCGCCCAGTCATATTCAAACAAATCTCAAAATGGACGTTGCTGCTTTCTCCCAACTTTTGTCATCATTTGGCAGACGATGCTGAGCAGCAGCAGACTGTAAACAAGTGTTGTTACAAACCAGGAGGTGCCGTAAGCTGCCCACCGCTAATGTGAAACTACTCCATTTGAAAAATAAAAAAATAATCGACAAACATTAAAACTATGGATATTCTATCTATAATTTCAGTTAGTTTTAGTTAATTTTGTAAAACGATTATACAGTTTTAGTTAGTTATAGTTTTTTTTTCATTTTATTACAGTTTTTATTTATTTTAATTAACTAAAATGGTTTTATTTTTCAATTTCAGTTTTCGTTATTTAGTTAGTTTTAGTTAACTATAATAACCCTGGTGAGGGCACCTTTTTGTTTTGTATTTAAACAATCGTGTTTCTGTGGAACATCCAGCAGGCCCTGAACATGTAGATTCTATCCTGACTGAACTGAAAGAGATGGACTTTCTTTTCCATGACTGCATGGTCTGCTTTGGATATAAAATCCTGAGAGGTTGTAAATGAATATTAGCAACACTGCTGCAATAATTRTTTCTGTACATCATAATAAATAATGTTTAGGTACAAAGTAGACTTCAGTTTGGATATGTAGAATTAAATGGGGGAAATGAGAGGAAATAAAATCAGAGAAAGTTCTGTTTTCTCACCAGCTTGCCCTCACTGCCTCGATGTCACTCACTAAGTTTTGGGCCAAACATATCCCAAAGATCTGCAGATGGAGAAAGAAAGAATAAATGAGACTCTAGAGAAGCCATCTGGCTACCCTTCTGTCTCCAGACCAACACGAGACCTGAAGTAACGCGACTCCAATGAAGATGCCAGCCACCAGGGTCAGGTTGTCCTGCAGCCACTTCTCAAACTGAGGAACACAGCCTTTCACGTTGATATAGTCCTTCTGCTCCGAGTCCTGCAACAGGACAACACTGCACCTTATCTTCACGCTCTGCTTTCACCACATCAGCTCTGTACGACCTCAGAGGAAAGACCTCATCTGGATTCTTTATACAAGTAAGATGCAGATCATCTAAAGCAGCAGAGGAGGCAGAGTTACAGGAAATAWATAAAACAGAGCAGATTTACGKGACTCACTGGTTTGGCTCTGATGTCGTATCCACACTGAGTGTTGATCACGTCCTCCTGTAGACAAAAACAAAAGTATTGTTCCAGTTTAAAGAGCTGCTATCATGAGAACCATCAACTGTCTGATCTAGACCCTGAGACTAAAGAATATTAGAGCAGATGTGGAGGGGTGAGGGGACTGTACACTTCATACATAACTGTGATTGTTAAAGTTTGAAATTTCTCAAAATGTTCAMCATCATTGTATTTGTTATATTTCACAGGATATTTATGTTTATTATTTTATTTTTTATATTTCCATATGGATATTTATGTTATTTTTTATTTGTTAGACACAGAAACAGTGAGATCTTTTTACTTCTTCAAAAATATTTTCAAAATCATCTTCAGACTGACTCTGTTCTTGTCTTTTTATGCTACTTTCAGCTGTCATTTATTTACTTTTGGCTTTAAGCAAGACTTTGTAAACTTTTAGCTCCCATTCAGCTTATTTTAGCTTTTAAGGAGCCTGTTGCTACTTTTAGCTAGCTAGCTTTTTGACACTTTTCTTTAAATACTTATATATATTTTAGTTAGAAGTTTCTATTTTTTCCTTTTAGCATTTTGTTTTTAATATTTTTAGTTAGCCTTGTTTTACTTTTATCTTTTAGCTATGACTTTGATACTTTTAGCTTCTGTAATAGAACTAATACTTTTATGTTTAAGCAAGTAATTCATGACATCCTTTAATGACCTAGGTTTTCATGACATGCTGTTCATCTGCAGACAGAATGATTAAAGTCAGAACAAGATTTGCTAACAACAGTCATTCTTAGATATCACTTGTGTTTATCTTTGTGTTTTCCCTTGACCTTGTATCAAATCTTGCTAAGATGACATAATGGTGTTTGTTAATATATATATATGAGGCCTCTCAAGACACAGTGTTCAACAATGGACAGTGACAGAGAGAAGCAGAGGCACAGAGAGAGGCCAGGTTGTTCTCTGTGTTTCTGTTGTTTAAATAAAACTCAGCTGATCTCACAGAGTACCTTCATTCTTGGACCACGTATTTCTGTCTTTGTTAAATAAATACTTACCATAACACTTCCATTCTGTTACTTTGGCTAGGGCGATCTTTATTAATTAATTAAACGCCCTGCCAGGGATGTAAAATAAATTTTATATGTACCCTTCTCTGTAAATTAAAATGTTTTAATCATCATCATTGTGATCTGTGCAAATGAGGGAATAAAATAATTAATATATAGTGCTGCATCTCTGTTTTTTTTTTCTCGGAGTCAGCGCCAACATGGGCAGCTCCTCTTCACGTCTCTCTTCTCGTCATCTTCTTACTTTGGTGCGCCACAAATGACCCAAATAGTGCTATATTATTATCTTTAGTTACAATACGAATAATCTATGACAATCATTCATTTGAACAAATAACTTTAACCAGTTCTGAACCGGACCGGAGCGCACTCCCTCACCCCTGCTTTCCCCCATCACTCTGGGCTCTGGTGTGTGTGTTTGAAGTGTGCCGACAACCCGCGGGTTGAACTTTTCACCCCCCTCCACATAAGAACACATACTTCATCAGAAGTTTGTGGGAGTGTTTGTTTGTGCTGAAAGCGCTCAGACGCAACCTATGACTCACGGAATTTACAAGCGACTTTAGTAAGAAGACGTAGCTTTTAATAATCAGACCTGCTTGTTTTTCTTCTTCTTTTCTTTTTTTAAACAACATAACTGCGCATGCCTTATCAGCCCATTGGATCGTCTATGGGCGATAGCCAGTGACCATGTTTTATGATCTGAAAATAGGGAYGATTTCCCATCCCTAATGAAGGTGCTGAGTCATACCGCTGGGTCCTTGGTGCAGCAGGAGAAAGGAACTCCACACTTCTCCCGGCTGGGGTTTCCATCAGTGCAGTTAAAGTAGATGTTCAGATTCCAGTCGTCTGCTCCAAAAGCTCCGCAGCACTCCCACTAAAGTCAGAGTAACAAACCATGTTATCCTTTACATTTGAGCAGTTTACAAAAAATAATAATAAAAACATTCAATGGGATTTACTTTTTATGACAAAAACCCAAATATGTTACTCTACATGACCACGATTATTAATAACTGCTGGACTTACATATTCCTGAGTGAAATCAATAAGGTTCTGCAGGTCGATGTCATCCCTATAGGCCCGGATGTTATTGTTGATGAACAGGTTTAGCTGGTCTTTGATCCAGTCCTTGAAGACAAAGGCCAGGATTCCCGTCGTCAGCTCCAAGAAGAAGATGATTCCAAGAAACACAGAGAACTAGAGCAGGAGAAGGACCAGGGAGGACGGAAATACAAATGAAAACCGGTTCCATTGGTTTCTCACTGCTGTGTGCAGAGTGGAACGTACAAACTTAAGTAAAAACGTGTTTTCTCGAAGTGCTCCAATGCATCCTGCAAAGCCCAGAATGAACATGACCCCTCCAACCACCATGAAGAGCCAGACGGGGTCCAGACCCCCCAGATCTGTGATGGATGAGATGTTGGATAGAACCCCCTGGAGAGGACAGAGACAGAAGAAGACCCAGTGGAAGACAGACGGATGTGCTCCATCCACAACTAACATGGTACTATTAGACCACGTTCATTCTGCAGGTCTTAATGCTCAAATACAGTTTTTAGCTCAGATCAGAGTGTTTATTCATGGTTGTTAACATTCTAAAGTGGTTCTCCATCAGACTCCAACAGTCCACAGCCCTGATGTCACATGCACAACACTGGGTTTACCGAAGGAAACATGGATGCTACATGTTAGCATGTTAGCACAAGTGGACTAGTTCTGAAGCTCATGTCCAATCAGAACTGACTAAATTATTATTTGCTGTGACTGGTCCACTGTTTCCATTTGATCCAGTTAGCAGCTACACACCACACAGTAATGCTCAGTAAACAGATGAGACAGCTGAAGATGAGCAAAGCTCTGAGTTTAWACTGCACAACGTTGGTTTCAACATCTGGATCGATGGATTTACCCCGACCTCACTGAGACCTGACTGTTCAGACCGAGGTCACTTTGAAAAACATCAGATATGGATCTGGACCACAGATGAAATAGACCTGGTTTGGGTTGTCACGTTCAGTTATAAAAAAATTCAATGTGTGTTGAATATGGGCACAAATACCAGAGTTGGGTTGTATTTGCCCTGCAGTGTGAACGTAGACTAATAAACATTTTTCCTATATTTTTTCATATATTTTATAAACTTTATTTATATATACTGTATATAATATTTTTTCTTGTTTTTTTTTCTTTTTTTTTAATTCTAATAAGATAGTGTGGACTCACCTTCTCACTCCAGGCCCACAGTCCAATTCCAACCAAGGCCATGCCCAGCAGCTGAAAAACACCAGTTACATCTCAGTACTGAGTGTGTCAGGCACACAACGTCAGCTCTGTGTGTGTGTGTGTGTGTGTGTGTGTGTGTGTGTGTGTGTGTGTGTGTGTGTGTGTGTGTGT